GGTTAACCAAGTCCACCTGTTAAAGTTTCAGGTCCATCTGCTTAACGTCCAAGTCCAAGTCCACCTAGAGCTCCCAGACCTGGTAGGCCTCCCAGTAGACCTGGTAATACCGGTAAACCATTCAGTAAATTAAGCGGTAAATCAACCGGTAAATTGAGTCCTGCGACATTGCGAGCGAGGAGCTCTTCATCATTGGAGTCTGAAAGTGGAAATATTTATTTTCAGTAAAAGTTTAAAAGTAGGGGGAAAAAATAGATAAACATGACTGTTACGAACCCGATTCTACCAGTTTCGTTAGTTTCGCTTGTCTCGGGGTTATTCATTCCCTTAAAACAAACCAATGCTTCATAAAACAAACGTCTCTTTACAATTCATTCCGAAGAATCCACCAGTTCAGCACAACCATCGAGCCACAACATAGCAACAAAATGCCTCACGTCACTTCCCCTTACACAAAATACGTCACAAAACAGTATCCATTTAATAGCAACATCTACCCAAATACTCTCCAAACAACACGCAATCACAATAAACATACAAGTCTTTAACAGTAGACAATAGTTTCACAATAATTCTGTTTAAGGTTGTAATTGTTCCTGTTGTTGATCTTTGTTGGTTTTTGTTTTTGACCAACCGATGACCTACCTGTCACAGGTCACATGCAATCCCGGCTAGATAATTTTGGTTGCACGCTAAGCTATGAATGTTATAAGATGACGAACACCAAAAACATTCCTTAACCCGAGAGTACGAAATGGCTTTTAGGTAGGGTTTAAATACAATGAACATAACAGAGCATTATGTCAACTAGAACAAGACAGACCATTGTGTCAACTAGAACAAGACAGATCTTTGTGTCAACTAGAACAAGACATATCTTTGTGTCAACTAGAACAAGACAGATCTTTGTGTCAACTAGAACAAGACAGGTCATTGTGTCAAATAGAACAAGACAGATCTTTGTGTCAACTAGAACAAGACAGATAATTGTATCCACTAGAATAAGACAGATCATTTTGTCAACTAGAACAAGACAGATCATTGTGTCAACTAGAACAAGACAGATCTTTGTGTCGACTAGAACAAGACAGAACTTTGTGTCAACAGAACTAGACAGATATTTGTTTCATCTAGAACAAGACAGACCATTGTGTCAAATAGAACAAGACATATCTTTGTGTAAACTAGAACAAGACATATTATAATGTCAACTAGAACAAGTCAGATCATTGTGTCAACGAGAACAAGACAAATCATTGTGTCAACGAGAACAAAACAGATCATTGTGTCAACTAGAACAAGACATATCTTATTGTCAACTAGAACAAGACAGATCATATTGTGGGCTAGAACAAGACAGATCATTGTGTAAACTAGAAAAAGACAGATCAATTCTTCAACTAGAATACGACAGCTAGACTAGAATAGACATATCATTATGTCAACTTGGACAAGACAGATCATTATGTCAACTAGGACAAGACAGATCTTTATATCGACAGGAACAAGAACGATATTTATTATTATCATTATTGGTTTTATATAGCGCGGAACCTCCCTCAGCTTAGGGCTGGGCTCACATGCTCTACATACATTTTAACAAATTGAACATAAAAAATAAAATACATTAATTAAAAAAACGAAACAAATGTATATTCACTCCACCCATTCAAGAACTATTTACATGTCAAGCCATGGACGGCACACAGCAGCATCGTTTATCGGTCAGAGGGGGGAAATCACTCAGGATAGTAGAGTTTAAAGAGATGTGTTTTGAGTGCAGTTTTGAAGACTGCAAATGGTCCACAAATTGCGAATATATCATTATGTCGACTAGAATAGGACAAAACATTTCATTTTTTTCTAAAATTATTATTTTGTCTTCAATATCCCTATATATTTTTACTTCAGGTTATATTGTCTGTAATATCCCTGTACAATTGCATTTCAGTCTATTTTGTCTTCAATAGCCAAATATATTTAAACTTAGGTTTTAAGTCATATAACATTTCGAAAATTATTGCAAAATATAAACTAGACAACGGATAAATTAATCACAATTTAACCAAATTATTTTAGTAAGAGGCGAGGGGTTTGTTGTTGTTTTTGTGGGGGGTTTTTTGGGGGGGTGGGGGTTTTGTTGTTGTTTTGTTGTTTTTTAATTAGGATCGAAAATTTAAAAGTAACACCAACATTGTGATCGATAGAAACTTTTTTTAAAATCAGAAAATGAACTTTACCAAACATACATCTGTTAACAGCTTTTTTTTTTCAACATAAACTAATGGCTACTGGCCTAACGTTACACTTGTATTAAACTTGTCTAGATCAAAGCGGTCTCTCTATATTTGATAAAGAGAAAGAATTGAACCCACATGCCGATATCTCTTTATTAATAGACGAGTAAAACATACTTGTGTACGTCCCGACGGGGCCCTAAGAGGCACAAGCCTGTGTTCTAACAGAGTCTAATGGACTCTTAGATCAAGTAATTTAACATCGTTATTTTTGTTAAACCCCACTATTCATAAAGTCTACCAGAATGAACCGTGCTCTGGTTTCAAGCAGTGTTTAATGGGGAGAAAAAAAAACAGTATAACACACATGTCCGGATGTGACCATGTCAAATGAGACCCATGTAGAAAAACGTAAGAAGCACCAAGTAAAGATAAGAAAGCTTTAAGTAAACTACCTTCATTGTTTGCTGGCATCCCTGCTGACAACGTCACCAACAACACCAAGGCGACGACAAACAAGGGGCGCATCTGGCAATAAACAAGAATTTCTGTCATTTAAAAAGCAGTGCTATTTCAATGATGAAGAAACAAATTGAAAGAGAACCTTGCAAGTATATTGTAGGTAAATCTTGCACATATTGGTGCATTACATAAAGTGTAAGTAAATCTATTACATCTTCACACATTATAAAACTGAGTTAAATCTCATGATCATCAATTAAAGTTGTGACTGGTTTATACTAATTTTGATTACCGTCTGGACTAGAAGAGAAGGTTGAGATGTTACATCATCATTTGCAAGTTTTGAATCCATATTATGTATATGTCATTTCATTAAAAAAAATTCTGAGAGACTTCACGATCTCATGTGTGTAAATCACATGTTAGTTGATAATTCTTTCTTTTGATTCATGGAGCAGAGAAGGGGATAGTAATAAAAAAAATTATGTTGATTGCGTGACGAAGTTCAAGATCTGATACCAACAGTTTTATTTAGAGAAGGTGTTGCAGTAAGCATTTAAATTGTATCTGAATATGGACATTGGTGTTTAATTTTCTGTCAAAAGACTTTAAACTAGTCGTTGAAAAACTAATACCACTTACCCCAAACGAACACATTGCATTATATAATATATTTGGATACATTACATGCTTAAAGTAAATGTTAGATGTCTAGAAAGCATGCTAACAAACGAAAAAATATGGTATATCGATATTCAAATAGCGCTTCATCAAATTAATTAGATTGGAGGTTTTGTTTGTATTTTGATTAATTCTTAAGTTTAGATACTTTTACACCCAATTATGTGTGCATCCTCTTTATTGTGTGCATCCTCTTTATTGTGTGTATCCTCTTTATTGTGTGTATCCTCTTTATTGTGTGCATCCTCTTTATTGTGTGTATCCTCTTTATTGTGTGCATCCTCTTTATTGTGTGCATCCTTATCACGGGGAAAGACTCGGGGAGGAGGCGCTATGGATAAGTTTAAGGCCTCAAGGGGTGCGGGGGGGGGGCTGAAAAACGTTAAGAACTACTAGTTTATAGCCTTGATGTCCTTCACCAGACAATCCATGAGAACGATTACTACACCTAAAACATCGACAGGCATTTTACCACGACACGTAGCATCGCTCAGTGGGTCAGAATCAGGTAATTGTAGGGTGCATACCAGATGACCAAATATCTTAAGGATTTGTTTAATAGTGCGCCAATATTAAGACTTGCAGCATAATAACTTTATGACATGGCGGCTCAGCATTTTGATAATATATTCTCATTATGAACAAGCACATGATGCTCTAACAGACTAGCGTTTAGTTTGTTTTTTTTTTAAAAACAGGAGGAACTGTGTTAGAATCTTGAAGATTAAAGTAAATCTATGGAGTTATGGAAAGTATTTATATCCATTTTCGATGTTAAAAAATAATCCTCTGATTTAAAACAATAAAGACAGCAACGCGATTAATGACGTATAGTGAAAGGCGCGGTAAAAGCATATGTTGCCTAGCAACGTGAAATAAACGCACACAAAACTATATCAATATTAAAACAACAACAAAAAATACTTTATCAGTATTTATCATTATGGGTCCATATGACATAACGCAAAATTCAATTATTTTTAAATCGTGTCAGTTTATTGCTGGTAAACTATTTTCCTTAGATATAATTATAGAAATGTAATCCTTCTATACAATGTACACACAATTATCTCCCCATCATTTCAATTCTAAATTAAAGGATTTTTATTTACTGAGACAACAACAGAAATGTGGGCCGTGTGAGTAGACAATTTACACCAGATACTCGGCCCCAGTCTGTGAATAGACCATTTACAGCAGGTAATCAGTCCCAGTGTGTGTAAACAAATTAAGTCCTTGTTCGATCATCCTATAATTAAATGGTGACAGCTAGAAGGATACAACCAGCAGGCCACCTTCGGTGTAGTGTGGAATATTTTACAGTGCCAGAGCTATCCATTGATTTTGCTCTAATTATTTGATAATGTTTGCACAAATTATATTGATCAATCGCAACTCGGTTTCATTTTCGTAGAATGTTTATTGATGGTGATTTGCTTGGATAAAAGAGTTACTTGTTAGGGATCAGAGATATATAATTATTATTTTGAAATTCAGAAAGTCGAAGCCCTACATTTTGTCAGAAAATATACATCTTTTCATACATTTATTAATGTTTTGAAAAACTAAATATACTTTTATCAAATTTTTTTTTTAATTTACTGCATTGAATTATCTAATGTTACAATATGTATATAGAAATTAAATTATTTCAATAAAGTTTCTTCACTTGGGCATGTCACAAGTGTTCATTCAACTTTGAATTGACAAAAGTTGTGTGGTTTTTTTTCTCAAATAGTTTCAACGTTCAAATGCCAATATTCTCGGAGAAAATGAACATTAGTGTCAAGTTTCAGATTTCTGCGGAGCTACAGTCGAAAACACCCAAAAACGGAGAGTTCGTTCCCCCTGATATCCTGATGACTGGCAGCGAGAGGGCGCTGATGGAGATCATTGTTGACATGACCTTCAACTTCGCCATCGCTTTCATCGGCATCTTCACCAACATCATCGTCATTGCGGTCTTCGCTAAACAAGGGTTCAAGGACAGCGTCGGCATCTCCATGACAACCATCGCTGCCTGGGACCTTGTCAAGAGCATAGGTGGCACCATGCAAAGAATGGCAGGCCCCATAGGTATCTGGTCTCCAGCCAGTGCGAAAAGTTGGTCCAACATCTGCCTTGTAATATTTAATTATCTTGTGTCTTTTTCTACGTACGTGACCAGCGTTCTCGCAGCGTATGTCGCCATTGAAAGGTGTCTTTGCGTGACCATGCCTCTAAAGGTGAAATGGATGCTCACGCGAAAAGTTTCTTTCGTAGTGTGCAGCCTGGTGTCGTTTGTCGTGTTTGGTTGCTTTGTGGTCGTTTTCGGCATTTATGACATCGTTTGGGTCTGGGACCCCAGCTACAACGCATCGGTCGCCGTCTACCAGTACAACGCTTTCTCTACCCAGCACACCGAGGCTCTCTTCGGCTATTACAATCTCTCAGGCACGCTCTGGCCAATGGCCAGTCTTGTCGTCATCGTCATTTCCGCTGTCGTCATCTCAGTCAAACTCCGCCAGGCTTCTGAGTTTCGAAACCAGCATCACAACGGCGGGACGGTCAAGGACAGTCGTGAATCAGGTGCCCCTAACAACGGTCAAGCCAACCCGAACCCCAAGGCCAGCCGCGACCAAAAAGTCGTAAAGATGCTGCTGGTCATTATAGTCCTCTACATTATTAATTTGAGTCCCCGCGTTGCCCATTACCTGGCCAAGTATTTTATCACAGAGTACTACTATCTCCGTGCGTACCACAACCTGGCAACTGCCATGGCATACATTGTGTTTTTCTTCGACTATCTCAATACTTCTGTTGGTCTCTTTGTGTTTTTGTCCATGAGCTCCACCTTTAGGGCTACGTACAAACAATTGTTCCCGTATTGTTCCCGAAGTTCTAAACCTGGCAAATAAAGCACTCGGTCCCATTTATATTTTGTGTCTACTAAAGATGCGTGTATTAATTTATTTATTTTTTATTTATTCTGTATCTTATAACCCAATTTAATCTTGAAACATTGCCTGTAAGAGGTTTGCAGAATTTTTTAGATGGGCTTTTAAGTGTGAACTATTACGATCAAAGTTATTGGCCACAATAAACCAATCAAAGAGTCCAAGGTAGTTACGGGAATGGTGGGAATAATTCGTTATTTTATTTTGTAAATTTTTGCCAATAGTATCAGTTGACTTGATGGCCTCACTTGCTACGAAGCTGCAATAAATAACGTACTATAACATCAAACTATAACATCTAACATCCATATATAACGTCTAACTATAAAAAAAAATGTATCTCCTATGCCTGGGACCTGAACAATTTAAATAAAGAGTCAGATAAGCAAATTAAATCTACTTCAATAAAAATAGGCTACAGAATTATTAATTCAGCTCTCTGGTAACAGTCTGAGTGACTTAGTGTTCTTCCTTAATGTGCAAACAAGTTTCAACTGCAGCAGTAGCATTCAGTTCAGCTGTCAGCAGTAGCATTCACTTCATCTGTCGGCAGTAGCATTCACTTCAGTTGTCAGATGCATCTTTTTTTTTTAAAGTAACAAGGGCCTCCCTCTTTCGACCTTGCCGATTTGATGCAATGGCAAGACTTTGTCAAGAAGACTGGGAATAGACCAGAAAGTGATGGATGACCAGCAGTGTGCCCCGGTGTCTCACTTGTCAAGATGACTGGAAATAGACCAGGATGTGATGGATGACCAGCAGTGTGCCCCGGTGTCTCACTTGTCAAGACGACTGGAAATAGACCAGGAAGTGATGGATGACCAGCAGTGTGCACCGTGTCTCAGTGGTCAAGACGACTGGAAATAGACCAGGAAGTGATGGATGACCAGCAGTGAGCCCCGTGTTTCACTGGTCAAGACGACTGGAAATAGACCAGGATGTGATGGATGACCAGCAGTTTGCCCCGTGTCTCCCTGGTCAAGACGACTGGAAATAGACCAGGATGTGATGGATGACCAGCAGTGTGCCCCGTGTCTCCCTGGTCAAGACGACTGGAAATAGACTAGGAAGTGATGGATGACCAGCAGTGAGCCCCGTGTCTCACTGTGCTTAGACTTAGAGCTTTAAGTTTACCATCAACGATTTGCAATAAAAATGTTGTTGTTGTTTTTTTAATTTGACTTTGACAGTACTCCAATAATGTTCAATTGTCCATGACAGTTGTCCATGACAGTTGTCTATGACAGTTGTCCATGACAGTTGTCCATGACAGTTGTCCATGACAGTTGTCGATGACATATCATCTCAACTATTTTTACAAAACAAACAAACAAGAACTTACCATTTTGTCAAGAGATGATTTTTTACTGTACTTATTACTTGTAGGTGGTTCATAACATTGATAAGAAGTTTATAAAATTGATAGCGGTTCATAACATTGATAAGAAGTTTATGAAATTGATAGGTGGTTCATAACATTGATAAGAAGTTTATAAAATTGATAGTGGTTCATAACATTGATAAGAAGTTTATAAAATTTATAGTGGTTCATAACATTGATAAGAAGTTTATGAAATTGATAGGTGTTTCATAACATTGATAAGAAGTTTATAAAATTAATAGTGGTTCATAACATGGATAAGAAGTTTATGAAATTGATAGGTGGTTCATAACATTGATAAGAAGTTTATAAAATTAATAGGTGGTTCATAGCATTGATAAGAAGTTTATAAAATTAATAGGTGGTTCATAACATTGATAAGAAGTTTATGAAATTGATAGGTGGTTCATAACATTGATAAGAAGTTTATGAAATTGATAGGTGGTTCATAACATTGATAAGAAGTTTATGAAATTGATAGGTGGTTCTAAATATTGATAGATAATTTACAACACTGATAGTTGGTTTGTGGTTCATTTCTTGGTGGGTCGGTAAAATGAAAGCGTTATTTCCAAATCACCATTTGTAGATCTTTCATTGGTTAGTACATCATTTTTTGGCTCTAATCTCTTGCAAATAAGACGCTCAAACTCGATATTTCTAAATAAATCAATAATCCCATGGGACATCTTGATGAGAAATTGGAGAAAAAAAATGTATCTGATCTCTAGAGACGATTATTCTAAAAATGCAAATAAGTTCAAACGAAACAAGTGGTAGATTTTATCGAACGGTAAGAAATGTAATCAACTTTTTTTTGCAAACGCATCAGCCTTTCTCTTCATAATTCTTGACATAGCAATTACAACGAACGGACGAGAGAATGGAGTGTTTGAGTTGAGGCTAGAGGATCAGAAAATGGAGAGTGTTTGTTTTGAGGTTAAAGGAGTGAGCGTGTATGAAGATTTTATTTCATGTCTTTTTTGCCTTTGATTTTGATTAATTGCAAAAATTAATTAATGACCTTTGGTTACTTTTAGAAGGTATTCATCTTTTGGTTGGTATTATTTATTACTAGCTAATAAACCCATCGTTTCCCGGGTTCACACTCGTCAGTACTGCTACAGCTTTACCAATGAGCATTAATTACATGAAAGACCCTGTGATAGCTGATACGCTAACGAACCATTCTAATTTAAGAATTTTTCAAAAAGGCAAAGAAAGAAAAAAGGCTCGACAAAATCATTATTTTAAAGACTGACATTTGTGTACACTCCCTTCAACAATGTCTTTAAGAAAATATTTGAATTTTAAAGTTATGCCATCAAATAATAGTGTTAACAAAATTTTTAAAAAAATTCTTATTAAATTGAACTGAAGTTAGGGGCCTTGTCCCCAAAAAGGAGTCCTGGTCAGAAAAGTTATGTTACAGTTTCCTTTGAAAATGGGGCCCCCTGGGAAAAAAATCACTTAGATATTAATTCATGTTGACTTTTAAAAGTTAGTTGCACCATAAAAACTGTATAGCCTACAATTCCCAAAGATATAGCCTCTTCACAGTTTTTGTAATTATAGCCTCCCCCCCCCCACCCGAGACGTATTTTTTAAATATTTCATTTTAATATTGTATTTTAAAAAATGACCAGATATAAGGCATGACCGTTTATTAAAAATTAGCTGCCCCCCCCCCTTCCCCCCTCGGCCCAAAAGTGATGGATGATATTAAAATTCAAAAGTTGTCCAACTGAAATCGGTTGGGAAATGCTGGACACCGAGACTATAATAGTTATAATTATGGGACCTTTAGTTTGGCCCCGATTAGAGTGGATATTATTATCTCCTCACCAATACATCCACTTATTGAATTAAAATTCCCCCTCCCCTTTTTTAAAAAAAAACAGTAAAATCCTAATTTTTGGGGGTGGGAGTTGAGGCTGAAAATTTGAAGAATGTGTTGACATTGGCAACGTCTATGTCAAGTTTCAGCTCGATAGGACAGGCCCGTTCTTAGGCACACGCTGACTACGCATCCGCGTAGGGCCCCGAACGTGAGGGGGCCCCCATGAGGTGCCCTCGATCCCCCGGTTTTTTTTTACCCTGTCACTGCAGCCGTCTGTGTCACTCACGTTACCTTCCTCATCCTAAAATGTATCATTCTGAGTTGAATTCGGAGGCAGGGGAAGGGAAGCAGCAGGGGAGCTTTGGGGTGGCAGACAGGAAATCGGGGGCTTGGCCGTGGGAATGGGATGAACGCAGAATGGAGGTGCCGCAGTGGTGGGTGGTGTTTTCTCCTCAGCTCGAGGGAGGATGACGGAAAATGGATCATTTAGCTATCCGAAGAATGTTGCCATAAGCAAAAGAACAAAAGCGAAGTTAATATAAGGGGTTGAAAAGCTGGCCATAGTCGTTTGAAACTACATTGACCACAATTTTGTATAGTCACCAAATCATTCAAGGAAAACTCAGGAAGGATGTGGGCATGTATGGTTCTTATGATAATCCTGTACATGTATGAACAATCCCTGTACATGTATGAACAAACTCTGTCCATTTATCAACGATCCCTGCTATTGTATGAACAATCCCTGTCAATGTATGAACAATCCCTGTCAATGTATGAACAATCCCTGTCAATGTATGAACAATCCCTGTCAATGTATGAACAATCCCTGTCAATGTATGAACAATCCCTGTCAATGTATGAATAATCCCCGGATTGTAGACCGGTAGAAAGGTAGTAAACTCTTCTCACCATTCATCAACAAAAATGTCAATAAATGGTTCTAAATTTATAGGGATGACACCTTGTTGTTATTTTTTTCCTTTAAAACGCATGCGCACTGAGTGAAACAAAATTAGAACCTACTTGGCATTAAATCCTTTAGACATTAACTTCGCTCTTGTTCGTGGGTGGCTGGCTGGCAGGCTATATCTAAGGACGGCTAATTGACCCACTTCCCGTCAATCTATCGAGCTGAAACTTGGCACAAAGACTCGTTACCTACGACAACCCATACTCATAAATTTTCATTCCCACAATCCCAACCCCTAACCCCCCACCCCCCCCCCCAAAAAAAAAAAATCAA